TTCAATGTTAAAATTGTCTAATAATATTATCAATAAATATATAATATATGTAACCAACTAACTTATCACAATGTTACAAATTTATATTTATGAATTTTGAGATAAATTTCTAATTTAATTATCTAATTGATAATAATCTTTATATTTAACATAATTATTTTTAAAATTAAATCCAGTTTAATCTCACCGTTTAAAACATCTTACCTACAAGCTTATAATCTAGTTATCCGTCCGATTGTTAGACTGATTGGACGATAATATTATACATTATCAAGTTTTTTATTTATACCGTTAAAAAAAGAAAGTACAACAATTTATTCTTCAACTAATTGAGATTGACATCTCTGATTAAGTGACATAAAATTATCTACATTGCTTATATAAAGTTCTTCCAATTTCTGCATAAAAATGAATTTACAGATGAGTCCTTCTACTTTATCAAAGTTATAACAGTACTATTTTTATTCACTCATAGAAAAAGTATTAAAACAATATCAGTATAATATTTTTAAAACAGCTAATCATTCATAGTCACCGACAGTGTGTGTTCTGGATTGAAAGAGCATGTGGTTTTTAATTGCTTTGTCTCACCTTCTGCCAAGAACAGCATGAATAAATATTCTAATTCTCTATAACAATTCCTTGCAAGTGTAAAACCATGTTTGTCTAAATGACACGTGTTCATATAATTACACTTGCTTCCATAATATTCCTTTCTTTAGAATGTGGAAAGCTGTCTCTCTGTTAATTGTTGTTTCTTGAAACTAAATCATACGCTGAATCTGAATTACGTAACAGAAGTAAAACTCACTCACAATGTTACTGAATAGTATGTAAATGTTCATTTTTTCTTCATCATGATGTGTATAATAGAAAAGTGATGTCTGGTGTGAATAATCAATCTGGTTTGAGGTGAACGATTGCATTAAATGAGCTTTGATATATAAAAAATACCAATGAGCAGCCTTTTTAAATCTTGACACGTGTGAGATTTGTTTGGCAATATTGGCATGCATGTCTTCTTCCAGACAAAGCTACCTGTTCTCGGAAAAATGAAATCTTAAAAGGTTTGGTTCAGCAAAAGGATAGTTCCAGTGGCATTAACGTAGTTCCATGTCAAATCAGTGGTTTTTTCATGTAATGGTTTGAATAAAACCGAGTGCTCCTTCTGGGATCTCAACACCAATCCAATTTCTCTCTTTCTTTCTCTCTCTTTTCTGATAATTCATGAAAATGCAGAACCTCAAACTGCAACTACTCTTATTCCTCTCAATTTCATCTTGTCACGTTGTTTTCTCTTTCACAGATGGTTAGTTCTAACTATCTTCAATCATATCTCTCTTTGAATATCACTTCAATTTCTTTGTCCATTCTTACGTTTATAACTTAGTGTGAAAAGTTCCAAGTTGTATAGTCATTTTCTCCAATGGTCACTGCCAGAAAGCTTTAGAATTTACTTTCATTTCTTTTACTTCATGAATCGTGTCCTTCAGATTTGAAGTCACAGAAAAGTAAGCAAGAGTTATGAACTTAATTACACTACTTTCTTCACTGAGACTATGCATGCATAATTTGTACGTTGTGTTATTTCATCGTTTTCCTCGCATACTGCAGATGTTTTTCGAGAGAAACCTTAAATAGTTTTGCAGTAATATATTACTTAGGATTTTGAAATAGTTTGAAATGCTTCAAGTTTTTGCTTATAGCTCAGTCTGAATTAATCCGCAGCAGCCCTTTTTGTCAGATCTTACGGCCTTCTGTTATTATATTATTAACATGCAGAATTAGCCTTCAAATTTTCGTTCTACTAAGGAACCTTTTGGTCGTTCTTCAATTTTCTGTTATTATAGTATTAAAAAAGTATTAATTCTATCACAGTTTTCAATATTGTAGACACATTTTTCCTTTTACAATCCCTTACAGTAGATCTAATTTGGCAGGGCACAGTCATAATTTGTTACTTTTTGTTTAAGTAACTTCACATTCGCACCAACGAATCAATCAACTACAGGACTCATCTGCCAGATGAATTCTCAGATTTTAATGCAGTCGTTTAAATATAATTTTTTTTTTACAATTTTATGCATCTTTAAGTTACATAATCTGAGTAAGATAATTAAAATATATATGATTGATGTGGCGATAAAGATCCATTAGAAAAATATACCGACAAATGGTAAGGATCTAAGAAAGACCTGGAAATCTTTTCACATGGCTTACTCATGTTTCCACGTGCTGACGGCCTGCACTGTTTGTTGTCACATGGAACACGACCAAAAGTTGGTCTGAAAAAGAAAGAATTGTTTCATTGGTTTTTACAGTGACCCACCAAGTGTTTGTTGAATTTCAGGGTTGTTGCCAAATGGGAACTTCGAGCAGGGCCCAAAGGCATCAGAACTGAAGGGATCCGTAGTGACTAGCCACGATGCGATTCCGAACTGGACCATATCGGGGATGGTTGAGTACATAAAATCAGGACAGAAACAGGGTGACATGTTGCTGGTTGTGCCTGAGGGTGACTATGCAGTTAGACTCGGCAATGAAGCTTCCATCAAGCAGAAGGTGAAACTGATCAAGGGGTTGTTCTACTCCATCACGTTCGGTGCTGCTAGAACCTGTGCACAAGAGGAGAAACTCAACGTGTCTGTGGTACCAACCACTGAGAAGAGAGACTGGGGAATCATTCCCATTCAGACTATGTATGGTAGCAATGGTTGGGAGTCTTTCACTTGTGGGTTCAGAGCAGATTTCCCAGAAGGTGAAATCGTCATCCATAACCCTGGCAAAGAAGAGGACCCTGCTTGTGGTCCACTCATCGATTCCGTTGCCCTCAAGGTTTTGTACCCACCCAAAAGAACCAGAGGTAAATATCAATACTCCCAAACTTTATATGACAGTATCAGAAATCAAACTGGTTTGACAGTGTCAGAAAATATGCATTTTACATAGTTTCTTTCACTATGCATCTGTACTATACAACAAGCTGTAAAAACTGGTATGTTTTTCAATTTGGTGCAGCTAATTTGCTGAAAAATGGAAACTTTGAAGAAGGGCCATATCTGTTTCCTAACTCGTCTTGGGGGGCATTGATCCCACCCCATGTTGAGGATGCTCACAGTCCTTTGCCAGGATGGATAGTGGAGTCTCTTAAGGCTGTGAAGTACATTGATTCAGATCACTTTGCTGTGCCCGAGGGAAAAAGAGCCATTGAACTTGTTGCAGGGAAAGAGAGTGCCCTTGCACAGGTTGTGATCACTACAGTCGGAAAGGTCTATGACCTTACTTTCGCTGTGGGCGATGCCAACAATGCATGTGAAGGTTCCATGATGGTAGAAGCATTTGCTGGCACAGACACTGTCCAAGTTCCATATCAGTCCAAGGGTAAAGGAGGTTCTGTGAGAGGAAAACTTCGGTTCAAGGCTGTGTCAACTCGTACACGTCTTAGGTTCCTAAGCACCTTTTACACCATGAAGAGTGATAACTCTGGCTCGCTCTGTGGACCCGTCATAGACGATGTAAAGTTGCTTAGTGTTCGTTATCCCACACATGCTTGATCATCAAATTTCTACACCTAATACGATCAAAACACATGTGCTTGATTCTTGTAGTTGAGCTTTGTATACTACAGGATTCTCGTAATAATGGTAGGGTGAGCATTGATGGGTGTGTGAGTTTACCAAGTCTCCTATATTCATGTATCTATTTTTCCCTCAAAATCATATGCACTGATGACAGAGAGTTCTTTCCATTAATGGAACTCAAATTCAACGTCAGTGTACCATACTAGTTTAAAGGAATATTTCTTTTTTACAATATTGCAATATCTCTTTGCATATTTTATAAAAAAAATATTAATTTCTTCCATTATTTTACATTTTTTAAGAGAGAGTTAACACGGCTTAAAGTATAAAAACTAATATTAATATTTTTAAAATATTAATTACAAAAAAAATATTAAGAAAAAACAAATTTTAATAATTGCACTATAAAAAAAACGACAATTAAAAGAAGGTCATAACATGTGAGTTTCATATTTATGTATGATTTTTTACTCCTTCAAATTGATGAAATATAATTATAAATAAGGTGTATTTAAATTCGTTGGACTTATATAACGTGTATCTAACAATAAATAAGGTGTTTGTAATGTGATTTTATTGTATTAAAGTAACACATACTAAATATGACGTGTGTTTAATGCTTAACTTATTCATATATGTTTTATTCAATTTATGGCAACCAAATTACAGATATCAATATCTCTACATATAAAATTTGCTGAAAATCGTATACTTAATTTTTAAGTAACACATTTATACAATTTATTTTTCTATTTCCCAAATCCATCGTCATCATATATATTATTAGGTCACAATCTAATTCGCTTATTAAAAGAAGCACAAAAAACTATTACAGAACATTAAAAAGGTTATTGAATTTCAAAACTTTAAGACTTTAAGAAAGGGGTGGCAAGATGAAATAACATCTTATTTTTTTGAACTTGCTATTGGTATAAAAGAAATCAAGGTAGTCGACCAACATGCCAGTTATTTTTTTATTATTTTAAACTTGAATTTATTTAATTAATTATCAAATTTGTAGATCAACTAAATAAAAAATATTCTAATTCGATTATTATCTGTTTAGGTAAATTCTTACATGTAATATGAAAAATGATACTAGGATATATTCATTTTATATAAAGTAATATAAAATACAAGAATAAAAAAGTCATAAAAATATAAATTTTTGTATTTTTTTAAAGAAGAAAAAAATAAAGAAAAATAGTGTGAAGCGTAAAAAAATTTAAGTGTATAAAATAATGTTTTTAATGTAAATACTCTTTAATAGTTTGCAAAAAAGTGTATTACCTTAATTTTAAATGGTTTATTAATAAATTTGGTAAAAATGGTCGGTGAGAGCCTGCCAAAATTAAGAAGGTTTGATTAGTGATTTGTTTGACTGGCACGTGCGACGGGGGTGGCTCACGTGGCAAGGTTGGCCTGTTCTTGAGCATGGTTGCGATTCATATTGATAGTGTGAGCGAGTATTTGTGCAGTTGGTGTTTGGAAGGAGACAGAAGAAAACGAGAAGAACGCCATTTCCTCAGATCGATAACCCTAATCATGTTGCGGAGATTCCTCTCTCATTCCAATCTCAAATCTCTACACACGGCGCTCTCACCTTCTCGTCCCCGATTCGCCGCTCCTCTCCTCACCCGCCACGTCACTGCTCAATCAGGTATTCGTTCTCTCCGTTGATTCCCCGATTGCATTGCACGCTTCTATTTTAGTTCAATTCAATTTGATTTTAGTTGTTCTTATTCCAATCAGGCGCTTCTTCCGTTAGAAAGAGGGTCGAAGATGTCGTGCCAATTGCTACCGGCCACGAGCGTGAGGAGATTCAGGCCAGTCTCGAGGTATCTTAGACTCTTCCCTTGCAATCAACATATCAATCAAATCCATTTATATAACGTGTCTGAAAAAAGGAGGTGGACTGATTGTGCGTATTTGAAGAGATTTCTTTGTTGAATATCCTGATTTCTTTTTTTCAATTGTAGTCTGCTCTTAATTTTTTCAGCTGCTTTTTTAACACTTCAGAGGCAAATAATTTTTTTTTTTATTCTGTTTCTTTTTTGTTCAGGGAAGGGATATTCTTGAAATCAACCATCCTGAAGGTCCTTTCGGCACAAAGGTTAGTGTTATTACCTTTCTAAATGTGTGCGTTTAATGTTTCGCATCGAGTTGTTAAAATTACTATCCAATGTTGTGCTGTGCAGTCTAATTACTTAAGAGCGTATGATGAGTACCCTGTTACTGTCTTACTGTTCTCTTGTTTCAATTAGTTGTTTTATACCACAATTATATTTTCACCATACCATTATTGTTTAAAATAAAATATTTTGATTGGCATAATCTGTACATAAGAAGTCATTAACAGTGTTAGATTAAATAATAAAACTCTAAAAATATGTAGAACGCTCAAGTGATAAAAATGTTGGGACCATTTCTAATTACGATAATGCCCACTGAATTTAATGTGTAAGAAATTCGCTGGAGCTATTACTCTGACAGGATTTGTGAAGTGCGACATATGCATACACACGTACTGAGTTTAGTGTTGAATCAATCATCTGTAGTTGGTTGTAAGATAAAGATTAAAGAATAAGCATGAGGCTAGAAAATGGAGGGGATCTATAGCTTTTTGAGCTTTTACCCAGCCACAATTTGAGGGTTTACTGACATTAAACAAAACACAGACTTAAACTACAGTTAGAGTTGTCGCTATGCAACTTGAATACGAACAGAAGAAATCCTCTTCCTTATCTCGTATAAAGGGATCTGATGTCCTAGGCATTTCTTTTTTTCTTCTCTTCTTCCTTCTTCCCTTTCGTAAGTGGAAATATTGTTTTTTTAATAAGTTCTTTTCATTCATGTTTCCCGATACATAACTGTTTTGAAGTATGTCTGATATATGTCTACTTTGTTGTTTGTTTTGGTCGATAGGAAGCCCCTGCTATTGTTAAATCTTACTTTGACAGAAGGATAGTTGGATGCCCAGGAGGTGAAGGTGGTAAGTGTTCGTTGTCTTTCTCCATGAATCTGTGTGTGAGACTTGTCATATTCTGATGAAAAAAATACTAGATCTTGGTATCATTGTGAGGTGAAATCCCCCTTTTTCTGCAGAAGATGAGCATGATGTTGTATGGTTTTGGCTGGAGAATGGCAAGCCTCATGAATGTCCTGTGTGCTCACAGTACTTTGAGGTAAGTTGGAAATCACATTTAGAATCTGTTGATATTATTGTGACCTACCATGATATATTTGGTCTTTAGATGTCAAGATACGTGATTATGTAGATTGAAAATTTTCGAATTGTTTAGATGATCCTATTAGATCTGTGTGTCGTGACAAGCCTTGGGCCCCTTTTCATTGTTACCCAATATTATGAATTTCCATGACATATTGAAGTAAGATTATCTGACAATTGGTTTTTGCAGTTATAGCATGTTACTGTCTTGTGTGTATGTGTGATTCCTGCTTTAGAAAAAAACGACATTCTAAATTGATGTCTAACACGTTAAAATTTCATAATTTATTTTACTTGTATTAACATTTGATTGTCGATCCGGTTTTAACCTCAAAAAAAGTGACAAGTCAGAAGGAGCCTTTTTACCCCAGAAGCAATGAAGTTTCGTGGACTTAATTTGGGTTAAAATTAAAATTTTATTCATGTTGGATAGGGAATTTTACAGGAACTGATTTGTTGTATTCTGTTAGTGTCACCACTCACCAACGCTTCATTTAATATCTCAGCTGGTATCATGTTTGATTTGGAGAAACCGTATGGTGTTTGCCTACATCATAAACACATGCATAAAAGATGCTCCACCAACTATAATTCCTCTTCTGGTTGAATATATCGCCACTCCTTCTGGATATGGTTACGAAGTTGGTGCAAACCATCATGCTTAGAGCTTTTTTGTTTATGAACTACAGCTTGAGAATTCCAATAAAGTGGACACTGAATAATCTTAAATTGCACTCTCGACACACTTAAAATTCTAGTTGGATTAGAATGTGTTGCTACTTTGATGGGTGCATTACTGCCCATTAAAACTAATTATTTTCTTTTTCTTTACAGCTCAAAGTGGTCGGACCTGGTGGTGATCCTTATGGACACGGCGATCATCATTGATTTCATCCCGCAATTTTCTTTCAGAAATAAAATTTGCAAAGAGAAGAGAGACAATTTCACCTCTCAAAATTACGAGGCCTCGTTTTGATTGGTCTATATACCTTGCAGTTTTGCGAGTTTAGAATAGAAAATTTTTCAGTATTTATTAGACACAAGCTGGTCATTCGATTGAGCTATCAAATCCCGCAAGGATGTCTTTTTTGGCTCTGCCAAATAATTGATAGCAACACTGATTCTTTGTCGATTCTTGAATATAGAGCCTTCAACTATTTTTAGCACCCCTAAACCACGAAAGGGCGTAAGGGACTACAAATGTGATCGAATTGAATAATTACTAGCAATGCAGATGGAGACAACTCAAGTATTTTCCTTTTTGTTAAATTATGCATATAACCCTTTATGCTGGCGTGTTGTAGTTAACATTTTAACTTAAGTTTCCATAAGATTTCTTAAATGTCGACTATTTTTTTTAATCACCAAGATCCCTTCTGAATAAAAATACATGGAGTATTATAAATGGTGATTTTGTTTCTTAATCGAAGGGTTAAGATTTCGATTTTAGGTCTGTATGTACAAAAGTATATTCATTGTTGGTTTTTAGTCAGGAAAATCACATTTGCAGAATGTATCGTTTTCTTTTACTAAATATGTGCGAGTAAATAGCGAATCTGGTCATGGGTCAGTTTTTAAATAAGAAATTTGGGTATGGAGTAATTTAATGGTTATTTTTCAGAGGTTCGAAAGAAAAGTTAATCCATATAAGTATGATTAGAAAATTTAATTATTTCTGATTAAAATAATTAATTTTATGAGAAAGTGTTTTAATTAAATGGTTTTGAATTATAATTATTTGGTGAAGTAAGCTTAAAGGATCCAGCAAGTTATTAGTCCGGAGTGTATAGATAAAAAGTGAAAAATTTACAGATGCTCTGAATATTTTTGTAACAAAACAGTATAAAGATTTACTGAAATTCACTTTTGAGGCCTTGGACATAGATAGTGAACCTAGTTCATGGGTCCAAAATTTACAAAAAAGTTCTCCCAAAGATGATATCTTCTTGGTTTAGATAATTTGCATTACGAGACCTTCATCTTCAAGAGTGTCCCTTTCGGGACTTGTTTCTTCAAATGAAGACCTAAAACCTTTTTGAAATTCGCAGTATCCGTTCTCCTTAAATATGATTTTCAGTTTGAATTTGGTAAATAGAAAATATGGAATCCTATTAAAAATTACATTTTACTTTTCACTTTTTAACTCTAATTCAACTTTAAGAAATAAACTTAATAAAATAAGTTTTGCATATGCTTGTATATTACAATTTTTTTTTTAGTAGATATCCAGTTTTTAACATATTCTTCGTATCAATAATATTTAGTATAAGAATAAAGAGAAAGCTTGATAAGTGATTTAATAAATTCAATTAATCTTATTAAAAATAATTTTTAATAACTCTAGTATCATTTAAAAAAAGATAAAATTTAAGTTTAATTCAATCACATAAAAATAAATTTAATAAAATATGTTATAATTTAATCTTACATGTATACATAAAATATTTAATAATATAAAACTAATCATTCATAAAATTAATAAATGTTAGATAGGCAGTGAAGTTGAGTTCAATTATCTTTAATATTAAATTCTAGACAACCTTTCAACTATTCTAATAATCAAAATTTCTTTTTTAATACTCTTTATATATCCGGGTTACCTGCAAAAGGTACTCCTTAGGTCAGTAGATGACCTTTTGATATTCAGAGTCAATATTTAAGAATGCAATAAATGTAATTACATACCACTTTACTTTAAACTCATAATTATAAGTTTTGGAATGGACTTGCAATTAACATGCGTCTAATTATGATCCAATAATAGATATCACTATTTTTTTTTATTCCAAAAATACTCTACATTTTCCCGCTATTTTCTTTTATTTCAAAAATACCCTACACCTTCCCACTATATTTAACCATCTTTCTCTTTCCACATTAATGGAGCATTGCAAAATTTTATTTACACTTTCTCTTAAATAAGTTTGATTCAATCTTATTTTCACCGTTCAATATATTTTTTTTTTCAAATTACTTAATAAATGGTAAAATTTTGTTCTAAATTTCTAGAAAAATGTTTATATATATGTGTTTTTTTTTACAATTAGTATCTATAATTTTTAACATTATATTATTATGTTTTAACTTACGACATGTTTGACTCAAATAACTTGAATAAAGTATTTAATTTATTAGATAAATAATATAAAAATATTATTAAATACTTAAAATATAAAAAAAATTATTTGTTAAAGATTTGGAATTTATTTAGTTCTTTCGTCATTATAAAGTTAGTATATAATAATAATAATAATAATATATTATTTACTATTAATATTATTATGTTTATTATTTTGTATTTTCATCTAACTTTTAAGTTTATAAAATGGAAGTGGTAGAAGCACTAATATTTTTAAATTTTTTAAATTTTATATTTTGCAATATATCACAAGTTTAAATCTAAGTCATATGAATGCTCCATTAATACAGAGAGAGAAAGAGAAAGATTGTTGAGGATAGTGGGGAGGTGTAGGGTATTTTTGGAATAAAAGAAAATAGTGGAAAGAAGTAAAGTATTTTTGGAATAAAAGAAAATAGTGGAGAGGTGCTGAAGCACTTGGGGTGGTGAAGGGAGTAACACCCTACTTTAAATTATACTCATAATTATAAGTTTTGGAATGGACTTGCAATTAAGATTGGTCTAATTATGATTCAATAATAGATAATCATACTTTACCTATAAATGTGTTTAATTTACAATTTTAATTACTTATTGGTTGACATGTCATTAAGTTAATGTTTCTCCAATAACAATCACCTAATTTTTGAAAATTAACTATTTACCGCATGATCATACAATACAATAAATATCGGAAAGAATAACATAACTATAAAAGTAATAATTCTATGAAGTTAGCATTAAACCGATGACAATATGCTAGATCCTCTTTAATAGTCCCAGAGGCTGTGGTGGGTGGCCAATGACAATTATTCTGGTTCAAAAAGTATTGGATCCAAGTTATAATTAAGTTAAAACTTTACTTCAAACATCATCATGTTAATACAGTATATATTTCTCTACTCTAGTCAAATTAGTACAAATAAACTATAAACTAACTAAATAGTTGATAAATGTAATTAAATTAGAAATTATTGTCGTAAGATAATCCAAAAGCATGGCATTTATGATTACCCGAAGACAAAACATGAAGTGCAAATATATCAAAATGGCTTATCATTTATATTTGACTTTTAATGATGAGCTCAAACTTCTTTTTAACCTTTTAAACAAGTTTTGTCTTTTAATTACATTGGTCCACCCTAACATCAAACCATATATTGAAATCTCCATAGCAATCAAAATCTACTTTTGTAGCCAAAGTAATAATGACACAATTACACTTTTTTTTAAAAGGATTTCATTCCCACCCATTTGTCTTACTCCTTTTTATTTTAAATTCAATATAAAAGTAATGCAAAAGTTTTTCTCAGATCCTAATTATCAAAATATCCATCTCTTTCCTTTTTATAATCAGTATATTATTTAGAATTTTAGATTCAGTAAAATGAGAAAAAAATTATGGGAATTTAAATATGAGCGTAAGTTCGTATTTAATTGAGATAAAAAAAAAGAATTAAGTAGATTTATTATTTTAATGTTTTAAATTAAACGTGTTGTCATCTATGTAATTTTGATTATAATCTTATTGTTGTCGTGTCTTTTATACACTCTCAAAAGACTAATCAATTGTATATGAATTAATAGTTTATGTTAATGATCGATTTAATCATGTATAATACAAGTGAAAAAATTTAGATATAAAGATTTTTTTGTATTAAAAATCTTTTTAAAATGAGTTTAAGGAGAATGTGTCACCAACAATTATATCATAATATGTATCATTATATTAAACTAATTAATATCAATTTTAAAGGCAGAAAATTAAAGGTGTTGTGCAGCCTGTGCTTTCTGCATTTATAAACAATCTTTTGGCACATGTTTGAGATTTCTCACCAAGATATGCCAAAGTAATCTCAATAGTAAAGGCTGCAAGGCGTGCTGCAGGTTGTGCTTTTCCATAAATATTTTATAATCCTTTAGGACGTTGAAGTCATTAAGTCAATCATATATAAAGCTAAGTTCTTTTTCACATATGATTGTATATATCTTACAGTAAAGTTAAATAAATAAATGGATTTTCCATTTTAAAATCAACCTAGGAAAAATTAGCAGCTTTTTCCCACCAAACTAAGTATGGTTTCAATTCATAAAATAAGATCATTGATTGTTCTGATACATGAAATTGTTTAGTTCATCCTCATCCAAACTTTTGAATGACAAAAAGTGAAGCTAGAAACAAGCATGCCATGGTTCACAGAGGCTAGTCAATAGGCAATAGATATAAGTGCTAGAATCTTAGCCTAGATGATGATGGTAAAGCTAATTAGTAACACAAACGTGATGTTTAAGTTAAAACCCTAAAATTTAATAGGCAGATGAAAGTTTTCAATTTGAGGTATTAGCTTATTCAAACCCGGTTAAGTAAATTTTTTAATCGGTTTTTGAACGCCAGTAAAGTTATTTATGGTATTTTGGAGGTGTAAGATTAACATTTGGATTCCAGAGAAAACTTCTGTTAAATTTTTTTTTGTTTATGTTGGGTATAAATAAAGTCTCACATCAGATAAAATAAGAGACGAACATGAATTTATATAGACATAAGATATCTTTATTGGTAAGAGGTTTTCTGAAGTGGTACTAAAAGTAAATCCGTAAGGACTTAGCTAAAAACAGACAATCTCTTACCACTGTGTAGATTGAATCTCTTTACAGTTCAATTTTTCATAATGATTTAGTGGTTTGGATTGAATTTGAAAGAAAAATGTTTTTTCTTGAAGAAGGAAAGAATTTTTGTTTGTGTATGTGCATGCCAGCTTTTATGTAGCAAATGGGATCTCCAAAATATTTGAAAATGGTCATACACGAGTTGCACTATAAGATTTATGATTTTGAAGTTTACAGAGTTTTTCAATTGGGTACTCAATTATGTTCCCTTTACTGAAAAGCTTTGCTTATTTTGAGCCTCCCAATCTTAAAGATCACACACACCACACAGTACTTTAATCTCCAATAAGAAGGTAGTGCCAACACCATATATTGTCTCCTCATAACACAAACGCTCCTCTTAGTATTATTATTATTATTATTATTATTATTTTCAATGAAATTTTGAACTATTTCTCTTTCTGTATTTGATTGTGCAGCTTGTAAAGAGTTGACGAAATGGAAAGTGATCAGATGAGGAAAAATTCACCATTTTTTTTTACCTTGGAGGAATATTAGATGCTCAATCATTAAGGGTCAACTAATTAGCATTTACCACCTTACAACTTATTTAAATTTATATGTTATTTATGTTTAAACCTAAATAGAAAAAATGATACCATGACACACTTTTACATTCATTTGACATGGAGTATAACGATAAAATGGTCATAAAGGTATAAAGTTGTGTATTTTTTCAAAAAAAAAAGAGTAAAAAGTAAATAATGATATGATCAAATGAATGTAAAATATTTAGGTGTGTCAAAACAATAATTTTACTTAAACAGTGCATGAATGAATATATATATTCATTCACCTTTTTCAAGTCGAAACTTGCCTATGTTAGAAAGGATAACTCACCTATACTAGTTCTAACTTGAGTTAAGCAGTGTTTGGAAGGTCTTTTACAGTGACAGTATGAAGAAGGAATATCTCATATCATGAAAGTTTGACATTAGGTAAAAGAATTCAGTCTATTATTCACGAGTTCTTCTAGAGCTTGATGACATCCCAACTTGAATTTTTCATCTCAGTTCAAAGTCTTCATCAATGAAAGCAATGAATGGCGAAAGTAGATAGTGGACAGAAGGAAGGACAAGTAGCATTTTAAGATTTCCAGGTAAGCTTGCATGAAAGTTGGATTTTATAGGGTGACACACATAGTGGTGCACAATGAATGTACTCATTAACCTATGCATGGTCATCTACCTCAGTAAACCTCAACTTTATCTTCTTTAGCCTGTGATGCATGTTAGCTCCACCTTTCACTTTGCAATTCATTATGCATCACTATATTGTTTTGAGAATCAAAACTGCAAATATTTGCACAACTTAAAGAGATAGAGAAACGAGAAAGTCATATCATATACCAATAAAATAAGTTGACGAGGGAGATATATTTCAAAGATAAGACAAATGAATGTAAACCTCTATTTCATAAGACAGTTGTAAAATTGAGTTAGATTTATCAGAGTCATCCAAAATTTATTCTAAAAGATTTAGTGTTTATTGGACTTATCGCACCATCTCTTGTTACATACTCTTATTAAATGAGTCACACGTTCTAGACGTATATGTCTCGGTGTGAGAAGTGTGTTGGAGATCACATCGATTAGGAAAAAGACATATTTATAGTATATTAATGAATGCAAACATCGTTTTACAAGTAGTCAATTTTATAAAATCGTCGATTTTGTTGGGTTGAATTAAGCTGAAAAAAGAAAGTATATGTAAAATTCAAAATTCATCACATTGAAACTTGATAAAGAGTGTGCTTAGATCTGATATGTTTCTTAAGATTCCTTTTGCCGAAGATCATGAGTTAAACTTCTTTGTTTTTTTCCTTCTCAAGAATTTATCTTTCTGCTAAACAAATGAAGTGTCAGGAGGTTATTTTTTCACCTAGATGTGTAAAAGAGAAGCTTCATTACCATTATTGTTTATCATTATATATGCTTAAGTCAAGGTTTATAATCTTTAGACTTGTTTTCATGAGTATAGATAAATAAAACTTTTCTTTAGGTGGGGTTAGCAACTATGTTTAGTGGCAAGCAAGAAAACAAAAAAAAAAAAAAGAAAGAAAAAGGAAAGAACGAAAAGCTTACTTACTTTTTCTTGTCAATTCTAATTTGAAACACCAGTTAAGTTACATAGCTTAATTATCATATGTCGGGTACTTGAAAGAAGAGGAAAATACCAAGAAACTTCAGTTCCTTTTACAAGTGCTGTTCTTGTTGATTTCCCTATTCTTTGCTTGAGTTCCTTCGAGTGGGTGAAAATTCAAAGAACTTTTAATTTGAGGTTAATGGTTTTCCATCATCAATCATGCACAAAATCATAAACAAATAAGTGTGAAAAGATTTTTTTTACAAACTAAGGTTATTCTTTCTTGTTTTCAGTAATATTTTTTTGTGGTTGCAGTTATCTTAATATTTTGGCCATTTGTCACAAACATAATAGATGATTGATTGTGTTATTCTATGCTTTGATTCTCTGTGCTCATAAAGGTTTCCTTATTTTTTCTTTGTCTTTACCTCATCTTTTCATGGATACCCTTCTACACTGTTGCAGCATCACTCTATAGTTGGTGCACCCACTGGTCACTATATCTATATCTATATATATATATATATATATATAGACACACACACACACACATTGCAATGCATATTCACTCGTTTTATTCCAACTCTACCATACCCTTTTGGGTGTAAAGGGGCATCACCATCCTACATTTTCTTCATTGTAGTTGCTTGTGCTTCATCAATTTCTGTAAACAATAAAATGAGTCATGCACATTCTCATACAGGCTCTGGTTTGTTCTTCTGCTCCTCTTGTCCTTCTTTGCACCTTGATGAATTTTAGTCTTTGACTGCTATATATCACTGAATTATAGGACCTTTTTCGTTCTATTCATTTGTTGAGTAAACCTGCATTACTTAAAGGATTCTATGACTTTGTACTATTGTTTTGAAATCTGGTAGTAACTATCTTCAAACTTAACATTGAAATCTGTTAGTAACTGGTATGTTTTCTCGCTTACAATTGCAGGCAGCAGAATCACTCCTGAGTTTGGAAAGACATATGTTGTGAGACCCAAAGGAAAACACCAAGCCACTATAATTTGGTTGCATGGTCTTGGTGACAATGGTTTGAGGTATGAATGTCATCTCTCTTTCTTTCTGACATTGTCACAACTATTAGCTGTTCATTCTTTCATACCAGTTGTCCTATATTCACTTCTCTTTTCCTTTTTACCTTTCATGATCGTTAATGCTTTCTAATATTGCACCTTTTTCTTCCTCCAACCTCTCCTTTTTCTTTTCCTTTTCACAGCTAAGGTATTTGTGGCACATGGGAATGAATTATTTCATGTTGAATTTTCACACATTTCAACACCTCCTATTTCCTGTCATATATCATATATTTCATGAATAAAGATTGGTACATTCTAGTAATGTTCTATGGCCACTGAAAATGCTAATGAGTTTGAACATTTCAAAACAGTGTCATTTTACGGTGGTGAAGTTTTAATTTTTAAACTTCCTGCGCTAGACATTCCTTTTCCATGCATGGTTGAGTGCTTTATTCTAGACAATTTCATCAAGCAAACCATTGGTTCCTGAGTAAGGTGTCATATTTACTTATCAGTGACACACTTATCTAATTTTAAGCTTTGTTTCTTGTAGCTCATCTCAGCTTTTGGAATCCCTTCCACTTCCAAATGTAAGAATCTTATACATTGAATCAGTCTGAGATTAACTTCAATTAATCTGTTTTTGTGTTGTATTCTCACAATATTATATGACATTATGCAGATAAAATGGATTTGTCCAACTGCCCCCACCCGTCCTGTGGCAATACTTGGTGGTTTTCCCTGCACAGCATGTATGAGATACTTAAACTTCTCTGTCACTACAACTTCTGAATCAAACCAGCACTATGTAATCTAAGTTTTTTCTAGTCATAAAAGGGAAATCTAACTTGCTCAGTGGCTTCTTAATCAGGGTTTGATGTGGGAGAACTTTCAGAAGATGGCCCAGATGATTGGGAGGGTTTGGATGCCTCAGCAATACACATTGCTAACTTGTTGTCAACAGAGCCAGCTGATGGTATATAAATTAATCAGACATCAATTTTTGCAAATTTACAATGTCCCACAAATACATTTCAGTATTGTTATTAGTTAAGGAAATTGAATAATCACTATTCTATTAGTACTTGCATTCATGTGTAACTTTGGACTAGGCGTTTTCTTCTTTATACATGTCCAGTTTTTGCATAGATGAAATTGATATATATATCTTGAAGATTTACTTTGTTTGACAATCAATTATGTGATAGTGAAAGTTGCTATTGGAGGCTTCAGCATGGGTGCAGCAATAGCCCTATACTCTGCAACTTGTTTTGCCATAGGAAGGTATGGAAATGGCATTCCCTACCCTGTCAATCTAAGAACAGTGGTTGGACTAAGTGGTTGGCTTCCAGGATCAAGGTATATGTTGTAAAACTATTTGTTGGAATCATTACAGTCATGTTAAGGATGACATTGGTCATTTAACCGAAACATGAGACTTTGTTTTCTCATTAGATTCCCAACAATCATTAGAGATTTTGTTAACAAATCTGCAATAGTCCACGTACTAAATTCACATGACAGACACTGTGGTTGAAACCTGGTACTTGTAGGAGCTTAAGGAACAAGATAGAAGTATCACATGAAGCAAGAAGACGAGCAACTTCATTGCCCATTTTGTTGTGCCATGGAATCAGTATGTATCTATAAAACTGAAAGTTAATGTCATTGCTTAAGATTCTAATGTGTTTTGTACTGTTTGTAGGTGATGATGTGATCCTTTACAAATATGGTGAAAAATCAGCTCAATCATTATGCTCAGCAGGGTTTCGATATGTTGCATTCAAATCCTATGATGGGTAAGCAATTTTTATAGATGAAATCATCCTTGTAATTGGTGATGAATTGGTTAAATCAGGTTTTGAACTTTTGGTTTGTGATGTGTGCAGGCTTGGTCATTACACAATTCCTAGAGAGATGGATGAAGTTTGCACTTGGCTTAGTTCAAAGTTGGGGCTTGAAGGATCCTCGTAATTATTCTATTTAAGAGATTTTGAGATAATAACATGTTCTGTTTTTAACTTTTTTTTTTCATATAAGATGATATTATAAATTCAAGGCTATATATATATATAGCATTGAAGTGAACATGGATGAAACAAGAGTGTGGCACGTGGGAATAGCAGCTTATTTAAAACGTGATGCTGCGTAAAACCACGACAACATAGTAACTAATTTCTGCGATTGTAATCATCGTTATGGTCCAGCCCAAGAGTTTTCTTCACGGCCTCTGTAGCACCTTGGGCCGCACCCTTCACCATTTCCCCTGTCTGCTGCAGGAACCCTTGGGTGTTGTCCTTACCCGATTGGGCCGATTCCTTCGTTGACTGGCCCATCTCTGAGGCCTTACCTTGAACAGTATCTTTGTTCTGTTGGGCCTTCTCCTTTGCCGCTTGGGAAGTATCGCTAGTCTTGTCCTTCGCCGCTTGGGCTGTTTGTTAGGTCTTGTCCTTCGCAGCTTGGGCTGTTTGTTGGGTCTTGTCCTTCGCAGATTGGGCCATATCATGGGCCTTGTCCTTTGCAGCTTGGGCCTTATCCCCGATATTGCCCACAGTCTGCTTTGTCTTTTCCTATAACAGATTACATAAAAAAGATGCAGACCCAGTTTAAAATATTAATTATAAATTAAAAATTCCTAAACACAAGATTAAATATTGATAATTTTTTTTTACCTCAGTTCGGCCCTTGGTTTCACCAGCTTCGTAGCTTTGGTTTTGGGATGCCATATTCTCTTCAAATCTCAAAATTCAAAAACTCAAATCTCAAACTTTCTCTTTTTCAACTCGTGACTGTGTTTGAATTGCTTTCTTTCTATTTATAGCGTTTCATGCGTTTTGTAGTATAGCCACGTGTGCTGCTTCATGACACGTGTAAGGCACGTGCCGCTCTTAAAATCGACTGCTATTACAAGCTTTCCGTGAGCCGGTGGATTTCTGCCACGTTATCTACTTTTCATCATTTTTCTTCTTTTTCGTGTCGAATAATCTCAAGGCAGAAAGATGATGAACATAAAAAGAGAAAAATGTTTTATTTTAAATAATTCCTGTATGAATGTTGGTGTTAAAATGTAATAACAACTATATTATATTTTACTGATAATATTTGGAAATCTGTTTAAAACAAAAAATTAATATAAAAGAAACTTTCTATTTATTTATTAACAATAATTAACGTGTAAAAATATAAATATTTATCATTCGGTCGGAGAAAAATTTGACACAAAATTATTCACACGGAGTGTCAGTATTATATGAATAAAGTTCCTACTTCTCTCTAATTGTGCAATTGTAGAAAAATTTAAATCTTAAAATTCCATCTAACAGTTAAGTTTTAAATTTATATTTTCAATCATTTTTTTACTAAAATATTCTGTTTTATATGCAACACCTCAAAAATATCATCCTAACAAAAATATCATAGATGAATGTACGTGATTATATCAAAATAAAATTTAGAAGATATAGTTCATAATATTAAACACAATTCTCGTTTAATAACTAAAATTTAAACATTTAAAAAATATTCAAAAGAAAACTACTTTGTGTGACATATACATAATATCTTAAATTATAGCTACGAAACTCTAAATTTGTTCTTAGTATTCAACATCCCTTGACGATTTAATGTTTGTCTTTGTCATATCATATGTTATATTTTATTATCATGAAATTCACCGTCGTCACATATAAATAACACCAAAAAAATAAGTTAGATATAATTTTAAATTCACAAGTTTTAAATAGAATAAAAGAATATACTATCAATTTAGAAGTAATTATATGCCTTCTAAGTCATATAATCATCATCAAATATCAAGACTCGTATAGTATAAAACCTATACTAATAACCACAAATATAATTTTTGAAAGATTGGTGTTTTGACTAAGTATATTTCATTTTTCAATTTAGAGTTATAATTATAACATGTTTGAGTTTATCTTAGACAAAGTAAATTTTATACCTAATGAGTTTGTCTATTATCGATACTTTAGACAATAATCTTTTTCGATTCGCATAATTAGTTCTTAGGACGATCTCAATCCAGTATTTGTCGTGAATACATCTCACATTAAAACAACTCATTGTAGCATTTTCACCTTAAGAATAACTACATTGTCATTTCATTCATACACATCTTAATTAATAGTAAACATTATCAATATAGTAAGCACAATCACAAAAAACTAACAAACATAATATATCACACTTAGCTTATTCATTACATTCTCGTAAAATCTTAAATCATTACACCATGTCATACATATGTAATTTAATTCAATCCAAACTCAACTCATAATATCAATCACCCATTGTTTATTTCAAATTACAAATTAATAATTCATCATTTATATTTTATATTACTATAACATTGAAATACTATATTTCCAGTAATTAAATAAAAGGAGAAAAGATATCTCTCTAATCATATACATCTAATCAAATATCCGATAATCTCAATAAAGATTCATATATCTAGGACAAGTTATCAAATTTTCAGCTTAATCCAGTTTTAACAAAGTAGTAACCCAAATTTTTCCAAAACTGCTAAAGGCTGAAAACTGGATGACACTCGGTGATATTGCGATTATATTAGGATTGAGCTTTAACTGAGCAAATTAACTTTTTTAAGGTATTACCCACTTAAAAAACTTTACAAAATCGTAGTATCATTATGTTTTAGCATAAGAATTACCAATTTAATCCATAAAAATATCATAGAAAAACTTATATTAACAAACATCAAAATTCATACTCACAATATCAAAACACCCTAAAATACCAATTGAATCAAACTAGTCTAACTTTAATGAAATCCTACCATACTAAACATATTACAGAGTGTGCAGAGTCATTTATAAACACACTTTAATTAAAAGCTAAAATACTATTCCACTTATGTATTTTTCAACTTCACAACTCAATTATCAAACTTAACCTATAATATAATTTTTTCACATCACACGCCAATCAATCAATTCAATCCATTGTCACATGTCCAATTAAAATCATGAATAATATAAAATAATAAGTTTATGTAAATTATAATTGTAATTTACTTATTATATTTAGAAAGAAGATAAAATTTATAAAAATTCTTTTTAGAGAGAAATACCTATAATTTAAACATTTTATTATTAAGATATTATTATGTTATATTTTTATAAAAACCACCACTATTCTTAACTTATTTTTTAGGTTATCATATTTGTAAATGATTTATGTTATTGTTCTAAAAAGTCGAAATAGATGAGTAAAATTGCAAGTAGTTACGGCTTCAAAAAATAGTTCTCTATATGTATATAATAGACAAATATTTATTTTTTCATAAAAGTATAAAATTTAATGACTATAATATAAAATATGTAAGTTTATGTATAATTTGTAAACAAACATAAAAGTTAATTTCAGAAGTAAATAGATAATATGCTATTTGGTATTTCCCATTTAAAAAAATCAATAATTTTATTGTGTTGATTTCGGAGACAAATATTTAATTTAAAAAAAAATAAATATTGCACACATTTCAAGTAAACAAACAAAATCTAGTGGTGCAACCAAAACTTTATTTATTAATTTATAGCATTTGTTATTTTCTCTTTTTAAACATGTCCGCAGAAAAAAAAATTATTTGAAATACAATAATTGTTGTTTTTGAAAAATAAAAACAATTATGGTCTTATTAATTTTATTTAAATCTTGTTAATGATTTAGAGTATTTAGTGATTGCATGACGATTTTTGTTTTCTTTTTTAAATTAACTATATTAATACTACTTTTTTTTTATAAATATATGTGATAATTATTAAAGACGGTATATAATAATCGTAATAAATTTAAATAAAATTATTAAAACTAAAATATTTATATAATTATGTTTTTATTATATTAAAAACGAAAAAGTAACAAACTATTCGTGTATTCCTTTATTTTAATGAAACGAGTTACTCTTTCAATAAATATTTGTTCTGGTGAAGTTGAAAGGTAAATAATTTAAGAAAAATTAGAAAGAAAAAGAAAAACAGTCAATTTGAAATATTTTTACATGACTAAATCTGTATTAGATAATTACATAACTAAATTTTATGATTTTTAATTGATCAGTGTGAAAAATTGTTTTCCCGTGATAATTTATTTTCCTAAATGAAACTAAATTTGCATTTGGTGAATGAGAGTGATATTAGGGTATGCAGCGTAATAAAAGAGAAGAGCTTCTGTTTAATAATCAAGAAAGAAGAAGAAAGAATAAGAAGAGGAAGAGGAAGAGGAAGAGAAGCTGAAGTTCGAGTTTTTGGAGTGGTTGGTGAGATTTTGTTGGGCGGAGAAGAAAGATAAAGAAAGAAGAGAGAGGAATTTGGAATCGGTGGGTCTACGAGTATCGAAGAGAAGAAGAAACAATCGATTGAATCGAAAAATGTCGCTAACGAGCGTGAAAATGTCGGAAGAAGTGTGGTTAAGTTGCCTCACTCATGCATTGTCCACTGAAACCGAAGAGATTATGGGTCTTCTTTTTGGGGACATTCAGGTAATCTGACCTAACATTTCTTTCTATGTTATCGAGTCAATTGAAGAAACGCATAGACACAGTACCAGGGTCGATTAATGATTGTTATGGGTTGGGTTGATTCAGCATTCGAAAAACGGGAACGTGACTGCATTGATCTGGGGGGCGTCTCCTCAGAAGAGGTCTGATCGGCGAAAGGATCGAGTGGAAACCGACCCTGAGCTCTTGGCCGCTGCAACTGCCCTCGCTGAGCGAATGACCACAGCCACTGGAACTACGACAAGGGTAATTGGTTGGTACCATTCACACCCGCACATTACAGTTCTCCCTTCCCATGTTGATGTAAAAACCCAGGCAACGTACCAGCTTCTTGACTCTGGATTTATTGGCTTGATTTTTTCCTGTTTCAGTGAAGATGTAAACAAGGTCTGTCTTCAATGCATGGCCAAAAGATTCTTCAATTGTAAATTTTCTTTAAGTTTATCGTCAAATACCTCTGGGTTGTGTTCAGGTTGGAAGAATTCAAGTAATTGCTTTCCAGTCATATGATGGGAGGCAGAATCAGTTATCAGGACCCATACCTTTGTCTCTTGTAAATAGAAGCCCTATTATCGATATCGATTCATCGCCAAGTTCTTCAGAGAATTTATCAATAATACCTGGTTACTTCAAGGCAGAGAGGTCTTTGCAGGACACTGGTGATTCGACAAATAGTGGTCCTAGTAAGGTATAATTTTTTATATCTCTAGGTGATTTAAAGTTTGGTATGTGTGCTGTTGTTTGGCCGTAGAATACACAATGGTATTTAGAATGCTTATTTTGCTTGAATGTAAAATTAATGAAACATGATGCAACTTACTGAAATTGTTAGAGGGGTGTTTCTTTATTAAAATATAGTTCTGTTTGTTTTCTGCTTTCCAGTCCCAATTTCAAACAAGTCGCTAGATGATTTGGATACTTCTTTTTTTTAATGTTAAAATACCATCATGATAGATTGTTTTCTAGTGTCCACCTCCAGTAGTGTTTTTAGGGTGTATTCATATCATGACAAAGTTTTAAATGCAAGATACTTGAACCAACGAGCTTTAGAATCCCGTCTTCTTTTCCGAATATGAAATGAAGCTATTGGATTCAGTGTTTGGAACCGGGACCAAATGGGTAGTAGGATCCATTGATGGATTGGAGTCAGTTATTTTTATGAATATACGTAGCAGTAATTCTGCATTGGTTCTGTATTAGAAATTACATGATTGCAGTTATTCATAGAATATCTTAGAGTGAATGAAAGGGTTGG